GACTTCCATGGAAGAACCGACGGGCCATCCGATGACTGAGATGGCGAACATGGCAGCTCCACGCCACGCCGGGTTGACGGCGTTATCGGGGTAGGGTCCGGGGCCACCGGTGATTCCGAAGCCGATGATCTCGCCGCCCTTATCACTCAAGCCCTTGATGGCTTCAAAGGTGGCGTTGAACTTGGTCGCATCGGCAAAGTTCTCTGTTGGGAAGAGACGGCAAGCAGTCTTAGCAGCCGTGCCACCAACGAGCTCCTTGGGGAAACCGGCCTTCCAGGCAGGCAGGAAGCTCTTGTGCTCGGAGTAGACAGGGGAAACATTGACGCCGAGGGCGGCCCACTTTGCGAAGAGAGGGGCAGTGAGGTCCTTGAGCTCCTGCAAAGTCATGTTGGGGGCGAACCAGGGAAGCATGGTGAAGGTGAGTGTTTCCGGTCCAGTGTGGAAGATGTTCCAGTACTCATAGTTGCCAGCAGCATTCCAGGTAGGCAGGCCCTCCCAGTAGGCCTTGACAGCGGCCCAAAAGGCATCGTTGGTGATATTTGCGCCGGTGCTGAAGCTGAAGGTCATCACGGCAACGTTGTCGAGCTTGGGGTAAGCCTTGACAACGTAGGAGGTCACGACGCCGAAAGTGTCTGGACAGGGTCAGCTGTGGTGTCTCAATGTTGTGTGGCAAGATGGACTCACTGCCACCACCGCCACGCAGGGCCCAGAAGAGCTCAGTGTTTTGGTTCTCGTTGGCGGTCACGAATCGGCCATCCGGGGTAACAACATCAATGCTCAGGACCTAGAAACATGATTAGCAACGTTGTGTTGCATGCGAGATAGTCGGGTTGCTCTCACTGAGTCAGCTGCAATGCCATACTTGGGTGACATGGGCGAGTGGCCACCACCGGCCAGGTACCCTCCAGCGTAACCAACGGTCATGCCTTCCCCGCCAACTGCGGTCACGCCATACTTCTCAGCGGCTTCATACAGCTCGAATCCTTGCACACCAGCGCCAACCTTGAGGGCCGGGCCAGAGTAGGATCCTGTCTTGTAGTTGTTGTAGAAGTTGATGCTCTTCAGGAAGTGAGTCCAGACGGACAGAGCACCTGACCCGGAAGAGCGACCGTTGAAGTCGTGGCCAGTGTTCTTGACAACCAAGCGGAGGTTGAGGTTACGAGCGAAGTTGACGGCAAGTTGGATTTGGGCCACGTTGGTAGCCTTTACGACGTATGAAGGGTAGCCACCAACGGTACAAGTACCAGCAGAGATGTTGTTCACGCCAGAAGGCATGCAAGTGAGACCTTGGTACAAGGGACTCATCACTGAGGTCGGGTCCTCCGTGCTTTAGAATGATCAGTCTGGTTCACATAGGTGATGTAAGCATCTTACTGGATTGTTGAGTTCGTCCACTCGTTGGTGATGTACTCGCAGCGAGCAGCATCGTAGTTGCCAAAGTCATCGTAGCAAGAAGCACCGATAGGTACCGTCTCACTCACAGCAAATCCACTGAGAAGGTTGAAGACACTCCAGATAGGCTTACTCGGCCACAGAAGGTCACCAGGGTATGTCTTGCATTTATTGAAGGTGCGGGCCGAGCCAGAGCGCTTCTCGCCTGTCGATGTAGTGTCAAAGTCAAACAGAGACACATTAGATAGGGAGAGGTCCGTGAGGTTGGTCAGCACGGCATCGGTCAGCTGTACTGTCTCCTCTTTCAAGAGATCGCCAGTCAATGCTTCCGCAGCCGGGGCGACGGTCGATTCGTTGGCCTCTGCGGGATGTTAGTCATGATGCCAGTCACCCACACCTCACTGTCCCTCAGGGGTTCACGCAGAGTGCAGAGGTGAAACCAACATACCAAGAACGGCATCATCAACAGTGATCGTCTGAGCGCCAGCCAGATTGGTTAGAGGCAAGGCGGCTGCCAGGAAGAGGACCTGGCTGAGGCGAGACATTGTGCGTGCCAAGAACGATGGCTGGTTGCAGAGAGCTGAAAAAGATTGGACAGAGGGCGCGACAAGGTGGGCGTGAGCGTGCCTGCCAGACAAAACCTCCAATTGTGATCGCCTGTTTGTGGCTGGCGGTGCGGGAGTAAAAAGAGCGAGCAGACATGGCGAGCTGCACACTTGGATTTATAACATCCACGTGGGAGCGTAGCATCAGTTCATCGGACCTCACATAACGCCGCTGAGTTGATAACATGAGAGAAAAAAGAGATCATTGTTGTGCCGACTGGTCAATAGCATCTTGTCGGCTAACTCACATCCTGGACAATGCATGCGGAGATGGGGAACAGGAATCGATAGCGGGACGGCCACGACATCAGCCAGATTGCAAGGACGTGGACGAAGGCGACGTTAGGACGAGAAAAGGCCTCGGGTCCGCCCCCGGGAGGCAATGCACCGGGGGCCGGGTCAGCTTACTTGGATCTAGTATTCTTGTCTCTTTGGGCCAGGCTGTGGCCAAGTCTCAGCTAGGAGAGCAACATCAGTGGCGAGTCGAAAACCCCGCGCCAGGAGGTTGCAGCGGCACAACATCGCCAACATCGGCATTGACAAACGGCGCAGGGTTTGGTTCTCCAAGACCATGGATGCAGGTCTTCTTCTCGATCTTCTGCCGCAGCCGTTGAACGCAGCGCACATCCACTAGCAACTAAGCGCGAAGTCTGTGGGCAAAACCTGCCACAGCTGGGACGGCGCGAGATTCGTCTCTGGATTTGACATGTTGCGGCGGCTGAGGCGTCTTCCGATTTTTGCAAATCTAGTGGGTTGAACTTGCAGTCCAGACCTTAAGACAGAGTGGCGCAGAGAGTGTCGGGAGAGGGAGATCATTCATCTCGGGCAAGGTCCCCGGTGAACCTTCTGCACGCTTTGTCCCCCTTCAGGCTCCGCATCTCCGCATCGCTCCCCCGTCTCTGCTGCCTTTCCGGCTGTCCGCGTCAGTCAATCTCCACTGCAGAAATCAGGGGACCCCGAAGGAAAAGATGGGATTCTGGGCGCGAGAATTAGGGATTTGCGCAGTCTTTATCCACATAATAAGGGATGTGGATAGCTCCGCGGGAAGCATACGAGTTTATTTTGTGATCTGCTATCGTCCAGGAAGCTGTCCCGCAACCACAGATCTCATTGTGTGAGCGCTGACAACCTCCATCTCAGCCAAGATCAATCCCAAGGCCATCGGGAAGCCCCAATCACACTCCAATTGACCACTCCTGATGACATGATTTACTAGTTTGCAGGCTAGAAGAGACGAATTAAATATTTGCCGTGATAAGGGGCGTTTTGTGCTGCATGATTGCATGCAATTTCAACTGCATCTCTGCGGCGTAGCAAACTCTCTTTCCTTGGACCCTGTCGCCACGTCGGGGGAAGAGGTAACACGCGGAAATCAGCAATACCGCTAAGTCAAAAGGTCGTGAGCCGAGTCGTCAGCATCTTGGTGCGATTCATGTCTGCGGGCTTGGCCAGGGTTAGTTTCCACCTCGCTAATCCCCCCGGCTTGCCCTCTTCACCAACAGAAAGTGCCTCGGTCGGCTTGAAAAACGAGGAGAATGTCGTATTGACGCAGAGAACATCCGCCCTCAGTCGCATTTTTTGATCTCACATCCCGGCCCCATTTCCCGGGTGCAGTGACGCCTTACTGAAATTGTGCTGCACTGCGAACTGAGCTAATCGACGACGACGTCGTATTCGCGGCGTAGCGAACAGGTAGGTAGCCAACGAAATATGCTAGAGATTCATCGTTACGCTAGTTTTTGGGTTCGCATATGCAGAGGTTCAATCCTGTTTCGTACAGCGTGGGGTTCTTCAGCAACGACGCTACGCCACGGGTTGACTAGCTCCGCATGAGGACAACAGTATCCATCTAGACGTGAAGATTTTATCGCGTTGGCACCGTCCGAACCATATCGTCCTATAATGAATAATTGTTCAATTTTATGCCTGTGCGCTCGTCGGCTTGTTCCATTTCGACTTCTTGTTTCCTGGGAAGCCGAGAGGCACTGACAGGAACAATCATGGGATGAATAGCGCCAATCCGAGGAATACGAGCTGATGAACTTCTCCCGGTTCCATCCAAATAGAGTTTGGCATTATATGAAATCGCACGATTGATCCTTGTCAAGAGACAGGACACAGCTGCAGGAACTTCATATCAAGAGAGCCCTTCATGTTCGAGAACGCATCATCCCTGGCCAGCCCCTGGCACTCCTCGGCCGCTATCCCGCGGCTGACCACTCACAACTTTGGGAATCCCGCCTCCTGAAGCCAAGTCTCGGATATGCAGAGCCCTAGTCCTTCCAGACAGATCCTCTGTGGGAGGCCGGAGGCAGAAGTTCCCTCTTGGTGGCGGCGGAGAGGCCCTGAATCAGTTTACTAACGCCTTATGTTCCGGCTGGGGATTCAGCAATACCACCCTAGGAGCGGAGATTTGAAGAACTCCAACCAGTTTCTGAGGTGCTAGGCTTGATTCTGCCCTGTTCTCAAAGGCTTCTTTGACCGGGAGCTTGCGAGACGAGGTAGTACCATGAAACTAGGCTGTGTGGTCTGCACGTCTGTCACGATTAGGGTACCAACAGACAGGATCAAAATCTGGGTTTCTTTCCTCCACGCGACGCACGGTGGGCTTTCATTCAAGTCTACCCGACGGACGACTGAGGTCAGCCACACGGGCTTCTCCTTTTGTGAGCGTACGGGATAGCGAGTGATCATACATGCCATCAAAGAGGTTGAAGCCCAAGCCAGCGAACGATCTCACCATCGGCGACAGACAGTACGGAGTGTAACCTTAGCAGCAGACCTTTTTCTACGTCCAAGAGGTCGATAGAGATCTATCGATCTGTATATATCTCACGAACCATCCCACGGGCCCCCTCGCGGCCACCCGAGCTCCCCGTTCGTCTTCTCCCCTGGCCTGCTCACCCCCACTGATAAACATTTTAACTCCAGTGCCCAGGCTGCGGGAGTTCAAAGTTTACGTTTACATACTCTTTCCCGGAGTTTCTGATGTTATCCCAGGTCATGGAGTCTCTGTGGCAGCGAGGCATCGAAGCCGAGTGGAAAGATGTCCGAGATATCCCGTCAACGCCTCTTCAGCAGGTGGCGATGGCGATACTGTTCCTATTCACCTTTACAGCATTACTGAGCTACGTTTTGAGAATGTACAGCAAGTTCACCACAAAACAGATTGGCCTCGGTATGTAGACTCATTGCATGTACTTTGAACAACCATTGACCACATATTCAGACGACTACTTCATGACCGGTGCAATGGTAAGGATCATTCGGCAGTGTGCCGATCACGAGCAAAGTCTTGGCTAACATCAGTCGATGATAGCTCTTCTCTCTCGCGCTGCTCGTTCCGACGTACATGTTCTTCAAGTACTACTACATCGGTTTTCCAACGTCGTCGCTGCCCGCCGACTGGGACCCGGCGCCGATGCTGTTCTGGAATTGGATTCTGCAGGTTCTCTATAATCCAATTCTGGCCCTCGTCAAGTCGTCTGTGCTCGTCTTCCTCTTGAGACTGGGCGGCCACCAGCGCGGAGTAAGATGGACCATTTACGTCCTGAATACGATCAACCTGCTCACGATGGTTGCTATCTTTCTGACGGTTCTGTTCCAAACCATACCCATCAACGCTTTTTGGGATATGAGCGTCAAGAAACAGAGAGAGATCGACGGGCCCTTGTTCTACATCGTCAGCGCCATCATCACCATCATTACCGATTTCTTCGTCCTCGCCATACCGTTTTGGATCTTCCTGGGATTGAAGATGCGCATGGCCGCCAAAATTGGCTTGATTGTGGTGTTCCTAGCGGGTGGAGTGTAAGTCGCTGGCCATGGGTCCACTGACTTTCGTTGTGCATTTTACTGACAATCGCCAAGGTCCATCGTCGTGGCGATCATGCGAGTACACGAATTGCGAAAGAAGTTCTACAACTTAGACCCAGGCTACGATGCTAGAGACGGAGTCGGGGACACCTACAGCGCCATCGAAGTCAACCTTTCCATCATCGCCGCGTGCGTCCCTGCTCTACGACCCCTTTTCCGCAAATGGATGCCGGGCATGTTCTCCAACAAAAGCAGCAACGACAACGGCGTCTACAACAACAGCCAGTATGCGCGCTACGGCACCGGGTACGGCACTGGAACCGGCAACGGCACAACGTCGAAGCACCACCGCAACACCGTCGGCAACGGCTTTCCGTTGAAGGACATGCGCAGCACGCACACCGAGATCAGGGGCCACTCTCCAGACGGCAGCGAGGAGGAGATCATGACGCACAACGGCATTATGAGAACGACCAATGTAAGACAAAAGACGAAGAACGATATGATGGTTTGATGAGTATGCTAAAGGCTTTTTTTCTTTCAAGGTTCAGGTAACGTACAATGATTCGAATTCTGTTATGATGGATAAGGATGGGGAACCGGGGCAGGAGCGTTTGGAGTCTGAGAAGCCGGTGAGACGGAACAGCAAGTTCGGCGTGGGTTCTGGCGTATGACAGGAATTTTGAGTGGCTTAAACAAGGGTTCATGGATTGATTCAGCATTTCCTTTGTCTTTCTGTAATGATATCAGGACGCAGCAGTTGGTGATATGGATAGCTGGTTGGATGCCTGCCTCAGAGGCCTGGTTGCGCAATGAGGTGTCTTTCCTGTGCCGCAATGAAATTAACTTCATCGTCTGACACACACTATGGCGGTCTTGGTTGTTCTTTTACCCCCTTACGTCAGTTCATCAGCATAATTCCACATCTTTTGGGGTGCTACCGCAAACTTTCAAGAAAGATTAAAAACGCAGCACTCGCTGTGATGCTTTTTGACAAAATTGACAACAAAAGTTCGATTTAGCTCGTCTATTGCGACTCTGCGGGTGTAGTACAGTAGGTAAACGACTTTACGGGGGCTCAGCCACGCAAATGTGATTTGAAAACTCCCATAGTAGGTTCTGCTGCTCATCGCTCTTCTGGGCCAAAATGATACAGCTCGCCCATCGTTAGACTCCTACTTTGCCGTCTTTTAGTCTTACGTAACTATCCTTGTGACAATTCTCAGTCATCGCTTCAGAGCTCTTGAACATTTTCAGCAGGACTAGAAGAATGATAGAAACTTAGCGCGCGGTTATCAAAGTCATGAGCCTGACCTACGCCCGGGGTTGGTCCACGGGGGGTCAAGGCTCGAAGCCTACTTCTCAAATTGATTTGAGATAATGAGAGCTTTGCCATGGAATCTGACTGCTCGATGCCAGACCTGGAAGCATGAAGGAGTCATCTAGATGCTGGGTGATTCTGCCCCTGTGTCTTACTCCCAGGGCACCCTCTTCTTCACATTGGATAAAACGTTGGCGCCGACGAAAAGCATTGTTTTGGTCGTGATTCTATGATGGTCAGACCTTCTCCAGCTGAGGGACCGCCGGTTTGAGACATCTGGTTCTCTTACGCCAATCAGCCCCAGCATCATCTCACCTAGATTCGCCGGATAGGGAGATGTTGTTTGATGGCATCTAGACCTGGCCACAGAAAACAGTTCCGCCAGCCGAACCTGCAATCGCTGAATGTTCAAGCATTCAGACCCGTTGTTTCGAGCGGTTGTGAAGTGGCCAGACGCGTTTAAATAGGAGAACCCTGAAGGTCTAGATCTACTCACCGAGCAGATGAGTGGACCTCCACCGACACACCGAGACAACTTACATGGCGTGCTTCCTTATTCCCACTCTAAATCCTCTTTCCTTAGCTGCATCGTAGCTCACCCTGCAATCTTCCCGAGACTTTGACCCTGGCTTTACACGTTCGGTTAACTTTCTACCACACAAAAGAGAATCTATCAAGTCAAAAGGTCGTCCGAGAAAGTGCACGACTTGACAAGTGTGCAGTTTTCTGGCAGGCTCGTCAAAGTTTTCTCATAATATACGGTAGCTGGCTCCCCCATGTTGACATCTGCATGCAAGAGGCTCACCACTATTCTTAACTTTCGTTGTTCTTCGATCATGCCGACTCTCCTGAATTCATCTCTAACCCGTCTTTAAGCTTTGCCAACCCTCAGGATGATCCTTGGCCGAAAAGCTTAAGACCACCTTGAGACGTCGCATTGGAACGAATCGCGCCAATCACGACCCAGCATCCGTCGGATAAGACGGCGAGTTCATCTGATCTCAGTCACGGTCACCTGGCGACTGGGACAATATCCAACACAATGGCCCTACCGCCCTGGGCGACTCCGTACGCGAGGGGGTTTGCTCAAATGCCGCCAGGCCGTCTGGGCAATCTCCCGCGTTCGAATGGCATCCTGCAAGGCTTGACAAGAATGCTAAAAGACGGCGGTCTTGGGTCCGCGAAGCGCAACCTCGCGTGCCTTTATCCCGTCGCCTGACCATTTCTTCACAAAACATGGAAATCCTCCGTTTCGTTTCGCACCAAACCCAAAGAGATATCCGACCTGGGGACAGGCAATGGGGCCTCGCTGTTGAATGTTCTCCTTGTTACGTATTACCCGATGCCCCTCCCTGGTCACTCCCCCTCGCGTCTCCGGCACTCATGTTGCATTGCCGTCCCAAAAAGGCAAACTGCCGCTGGGGCATCCCAGCCGAGACTCTTCCACTGGCGGCTTTTTCTCCCAGAGCGCACGATTGGCGGAGATTCCTGTTCGCCGTAGGCCAGAAAAACGTGTCAACCAAATAGGGCCCCTTTTTTCCTTCCCAAAGCCAGATTGATTGCGCGATTGTCTTACCTTAAGAAGTGGGGATGCGAAGGGGTCACCGCGGCAAACCTCTTCCCATTCGAGAGTGAGAAAGCCGACCAGCCGGGCCCGAACAAACTGCAAAGCGCAGCGAGGAACGGAGATTCAAGGCACGCCACGCGCCCAGGTGTTCTGTTCGAAACGAGCAGAGCTACTGCGTGGTACGCTGCGTGTGGGGTTTCCTAGCCTCTCCCTCCCTCACTCCTCTCCGCCCAGCGGCGCCCTCGATGCGACCTCAGTCCGATCACCTGATTGCTGGCTTGCGTTCAGCCGTTCCGCTCTGGGTGAACACTCGCACTTTACATGGCACACACTGTCCAGGCCCGCGCCCGCTTTGGGATGTCTTTCACGATGGTTCTCGCCCAATGATGGGCCGAGCAGCCACCCCGGACGAGTGGAATCGGCACGTTCGATGCCTTTCGATATTGAGGAGGTCGATGGTGAGAAGCAAGCGACGGTTGGCCCATGACTGTGACTAGGGACAAGGTTTACTTACGGTCGTGATCTTTATTTGGGAGCATGGGATTTCCCACAAATCCCGGCTCATGCGGAAAGCTTCATTAAGAAGCCCTGACATCCCATCCCGTCTTAAGAACTGAACTCTGTTTCTTCTTCCTTTTGAGGCTGTCATCCACTTCTTAACGACACCTTCCTCTCTCTTTCTCTCGTTCGCTTGGCCGAATCATCACTTTCTTTCACTTCCAACTCGATCCATCTCAAACCAACAACATGCGTGCGACTCTTTCCGTAGTAGCCGGCCTCCTCGGCCTGGCCTCCGCCCTGCCTGCCGGCGACGTCGACTCCTCCGTCCTCGAGAAGCGCGCCACCCCGACCGTCTGGATGTGCGGCGACAGCACCATGGCCAAGGGCGGCGGCGGCTCCGGCACCGAGGGCTGGGGCCAGTACCTGCAGTACTCGTTCGACACCAGCAAGGCCAAGGTCGACAACCGCGCCATCGGCGGCCGCAGCGCGCGCTCGTACACGCGCGAGGGCCGTTTCGACACCGTCGCCGGGCTCGTCCAGTCCGGCGACTGGGTCATCATGGAGTTCGGCCACAACGACGGCGGCTCGCTGAGCACCACCGACAACGGCCGCACCGACTGCTTCGGTGATGGTACCCAGACGTGCCAGACGACCTACAAGTGAGTTGTTGTGTGAGATGTGTGAGTGCAACATAGACTGACAAGTGATGCAGCGGCGTCGCGGAGACCGTCCTTACTTTCCCTGCGTACTTGAAGAACGCCGCAACCAAGATGAGCGCCAAGGTGAGGCTCAACGATCGCCAAGTCCATCACACGCAGGAAGCTAATCCCAAGCCAGGGCGCCAAGGTCATCATCTCCGCCGCCACCCCCAACAACGTCTGGGAGTCCGGCAGCTTCTCCTGGTCCGCCGACCGCTTCTACTACTACTGCTGGTAAGTTCACACCAACAACGACTCGACATGGCACGACGTGGTACTGACACAGTCAACCCCAGGCTCGCCGTCCAGCAGCTCGGCGGCCCCTCCAAGGGCTTCTACTTCGTCCCTCACGGCGAGTACGCCGCGCAGGCGATGAAGAACCTCGGCGCGACGACCATCAACGCCAACTACCCCAACGACCACACGCACACGGCCCCGTACCTCGCCGACGTGATGCACAAGGCCTTCGTCCTCGGCCTTGAGTGCGGTACCAGCGCGCTCGCCAAGCTGGCCAAGAACACCACGGCCTCGCTCACCTCGACCTACCTCGGCGCCTGCATCGACAACTACAACTCCACCGTCCACGCGCTCCTGCGATAAGCAGCCTCTTGGCTTTTTCTAATTGTCTATATTACAAGCGTACATTAGCTTGGATTCATGCACATACTTTCAGGATCTCGGGCGAGCTAGGACACTGATGTTAGTCTAGTTGCCTTGAGCGTATATACAATGCATAGCATATTGCCTTTCATACCTTGCTTACACCCCGAGTGTCGAAAACTCGTATTAAAAATCATGAAGTGTTGAGGTTTTACGTGCGGCCGCAGCGATGCAGAAATCACCTACCAGACGCAGTGGCGTCTTTCGACCGAAGATTGGGTGAAATTCCGACATGAATGCCCGGTCTTCGTCAGCGTTTCACGACCAACAGCTGCACGACGATATTTTCGTAAGACCGAAACCAAGGATCCGGAGCCGCAGGGGTTGGAAGCGGAGTGCCGGTGGCGAAGCTAGCTATTCTAAGCAGGACGACAGACATCGCGACCCGCATCATTGGCCGAGATACGACAGCCGCATTCCTCCGATGCTGCAAACCACCTGCAGGCTGCAGGGCATGGTACGACATGAAAATGCTTGAAAAAGCGTTTCCAGCCTTGTTTACCTGCCAAACAATTGAGCTTTTCCAGTCTGCCCCATCACTGCTTCGCGCCGTCTCTCGCCAGACTTCAACAGGCCTAGTACTATTCATCCCCCCTGCTTAGAAGACGCCGGCATCAAATCGCCGACCATGGGCTCCGACGACAAGGTCTCCGTAGAATTCCTCCCCACCGGCACATGCTGGATGCGGGAGCCGATGAGCGGGCAGCCCATCACCAACGCCTTCGTGCCCTTCCGCATGCTCCGCTCCTTCACCGGCCCCTGGCTCGGGCCCCTCCCGGTGGGCGCGTTCCTCATCCGGCACCCCGCGGGCCCGATCCTCTTCGACACGGGCATCTCCACCAAGTGCAACGAACCCGGCTACTTCCCCTGCTGGAACCCCATCCCCGGCATCCTCAACAAGTTCAACGTGACCCCCGAAGACGCCATCATCAACCGCCTAGCCGAGCGCGGCGTGAAGCCAACGGAGCTGCAGGCGATCATCGTGAGCCATCTGCACCACGACCACGCGGGCGGGCTGAAGGAGCTGGCGGCTGCGGCGCCGGAGGTGCCGATCTACGTCGGGGGCGAGCACTGGGACGCGTTCGGGAAGCACACGATCTACGCGGCGATGCAGGGGGCAATCCCATCTGACTGGCCGCCGGGGTTTGAGCCGCGGATTTTGGATTTTGACGAGAAGAGGGCGGTTGGGCCGTGGGGGCGGTCGTGTGCCATCACGGCGAACGGGACGGTGGTCGCGGTTGACACGCCGGGGCATGTGCCGGGGCATATTTCATTGGTTGTCGTTGGTGATAATGACGATGGGACGAAGACGACGTACTTGCTCGCTGGGGATGCGACGTACGGGATTCATTTGCTGGATGCGGAGGCACCGGATGGGGCGAACAGTGACCCGTTCACGGCGTTTGAGAGTCTGAAGAAGATTAAGGAGTACGCGAGGCAGACGGACATTGTGGTTTTGCCCACGCATGATCCGGATACGCCACGCCTGCTGAGAGAGAGGGTCGTGTATCGGCCGAAAGATGAGGTGAAGGAGTGAGCGGCCTACGTCAATCGGGAAACGCGGCGTTTATGACACTTTGGTGATGGGCATAGAAAATAGAGTCAGTTCTTGTACAGGCAGGCTTGCGAAGAACATCCTCGTCAGTAGTTAGTTAGATTTGAAGTCGATTAGGAACATGCCACCTCGTTCTCGTCGTAGATGTTGTCAAGTCTGACGGGCCAGCCACAGCCTAGGTATCAAGTTTTCGACTTGGTGAATTGGCACCAGTGTTAAAACGCACAAAGCCGGTTCATCCGGTCCTCGCCATCTCAACACGTACAACAGATCTATCAGAAACAAACCACCGGAGAGAAACACAAGGCTCCGAAACGGGGATCCGCAGTGGATGCATCCGCAGCGGGACGAGAGCTCGGGCTGTAGATCCACGTGTGATCGGCAAGTGGGGGAGAGACGCGGGATGGTGGGCAGATGGTCGCGTTGGCTCGACCTTTTTTACCTAGATGGTGCTTCTCGATGTTGATGTGGACATCAACAAACCAACCGGCCATTGCCGCGGAGCATATTGATAGTGATCCACGTTGGTTCAGAGAGTCAGATGCAGGAATGCTGTCTTGGGGACAGAAGCCTAACAGACGACAAAGCAGACGATGCTCTCAGCACGATGGAAACGTGTTCCTCCGACCGACCGACCGGCCGACGCATCGACGTGGTGAGAATGGCAGCCTGAGGTGACCAGATCTTGAGAAGATGAAAAATTGAGAACAAAGACACCTACCTTGCTCCCTGAAGCACTGGTTCAAGGGCCCTAGACGCAATGTTCCGCATTGGGGATTCCAAGTCGACCTGAGATCCCGCTCACAATGTCAACACATTCAAGGTACGACCGTCTACCCATCTTCGCATCCCGGGACACGCGACATGCTGACGCCAAGCTCATGCAGCTTCTCCTCTCCAATTCAAACGAGCCACCGTAAGACGAACACTACGTCAATCTCACCCAGCCAAGCCATGCTTACCCTCACCAAAGTCCCCTCGAGATAGATCCTCAACCGCATCCCACCTCGACCAAACATCACAACCTCGGCCAGATCAAACAAGCCTCATCGACAAAATGGCCGCCGCAACCCTCCCCGAGACAATGAAAGCCGTCCAGGTCGTCGCCTACAACGCGCCCTACAAGCTCACATCCATTCCCGTCCCCTCCGCCCTCGAACCCCACGACATCCTCGTCAAAGTCGCCGTCGCGTCGTACTGCCACACCGACAGCCTGTTCCACGCCGGCGCCCTCCCGCTGCCTCTCCCCATCACGGCCTCCCACGAGGGCGCCGGCACCGTCGTCGCCGTCGGCGCCGCGGTCGCGAACTTCACAATCGGCGACCGCGTCATGTGCGGCGTCCCGCTGGGGCTGTGCGGGAGCTGCGCCGAGTGTACCGGCCCGGAGCGGTACACGCACTACTGCACCGATCAGAAGGGTATCCTGGGCATGCAAGTGGACGGGTGTTTGGCGGAGTATGTCCGCGCCGACGCGCGGACGAGCGTGAGGATTCCAGAGTGTGTCTCGCTGCTCAGCGCCGCGCCGCTCGCGTGTGCCGGGAGGACGGCCTGGCGCGGGGTGGTGCAGGCCGGCTTAGAGGCTGGGCAGTGGCTTGCCATCGTCGGGGCGGGCGGCGGGCTGGGGCACTTGGGCGTGCAGATGGCGAAGGCCCTGGGGCTGCGTGTGATTGGGATAGATGCGCGGGATGAAGGTTTGGAGCTGGCGAGGCGGAGCGGCGCGGAGGTTGTGCTTGATGCGAGGAAGGGGAACGCGGAGGTTGTTGCGGAGGTGCAGACGGCGACCGGGGGAGTGCTGGCGGACGCGACGGTGAATCTTGCGGATGCGGAGTCTGCTGCTGGGCTTGCGTGCGCGGTTACGAAGATGCATGGCACGATGCACCAGCTTGCGCAGCCGATGGAGGTGAAGATTCCATTCTTGGAGTTGATAGTGCGGGATATCACGGTGAAGGGCACTTTGACGTGCTCAAGGGGAGAGACGGAGACGATGCTGGAGCATATTGCGGAACATGGCATCAAGCTGGAGAACAATGTTTTCCACGGCCTGGACAAGATTTTCGAGGCATTGGAGCTTGTGAACAGCGGCAAGATCAGCGGTAAAGCCGTTGTCATCGTGGACGAGGAGCAAGTGGAGGAGGATGAGAAGATGGGTGCCAAGTATTAATGGTTTACTCTCTTTTCTAGTTTACAATTACAGAGAACTCACTCATCGTCTCATGACTGGTTAGACGCAGCCGCCGCCGTAACATCCTTACGATGCTTATCCCACGGGCTTCCTCCACGGTTCGTCGGGGTATCAGCCATATGGCTCGCAACCTTGGTATCAACCGGCCTCTGATGCCTCTCCTTCCCTTGACTGCCGCCTCCCGTGCCAAACATGCTCCCCAGCTTCTGCGAGATGCCTCCCTCAGTGTTACTCGCACCCGCGCTCGACCCAGGGCCATGCGTCTCAATCGCCCTGCTATTCGCATTCCCACGTCCCTGCCCACCGCCAATCGCCCCCGCGTCCGACGGGAACTTGTCCTTCGGGCCCTTGGGCGTGTCGCGGTTCGGATTGTCCGTGTTGCCGCTCTTGAGGCCGGAGCCAATGTCGGTGCCGCCGGTCATCTGGTTCATGCCCACGCCGGCGCCGCCCATGCCGAGATCGCGTTTCGCGTCAGCCTGCTGCTTCTTGTTGGCGACCTCGTCGGCTGTCGGGCGGGGCTTGTTTGTGTCAAAGACTTGCTGGGCCGGGTCGCCGGCAGGGTTTTCGGGCTTGACGTGTCTGTTGAAGGCGTAGAGGCCCCCGCCGAGGAGGACTGCGCCCGCGGCGATGGGTGTTGCGAAATGACGAGCGGCCATGATGAGAGTTCCTCTGATGGGTGTGGTTTTGTCGAATTATTTGTCTCGATGAGCTTTGCGATTTCAATTCTTGGTGCCTGTGTGATGTAACTGTAGTGCAGAGTGGTGAACGAAGTATCAAGAGGAATAACAAATGAAGAAAGAGACATTACATTCGGAGCCCAGCTTCACTTTAACAGGCCCTCCTCCTGACGAACTATGGCATCATCCCACCCGCACGGGGTTGCCCACTGCAAACGCGCTCATACCTCATCCGATGCGAAGGGCGGGCGCAGAATCGATGACAGCTTGTCGCAGGAGCGATGACATCAGGATTGTGGTGGTGCGATGCGCATGTTCCACGCCATGGCGTTTTAGCGGAGAAACCCCTTCTTTTTGCGGAATGCGGTTCTTCTTGCTGTCCACCCTTATGCAGGGCCGATCGGCAGGAACCGCAATCGATGACGATTTCGTTGATTCGCCAATCGAGCTACGTAGTTCGTGAAACGAGGGGCAGTGCCCGCGGATCTGAGATTTGTGGTATCATTTGATGGGACGGTTTGCTACCTATGTAGGTAAGGTAGGTAGGCAAATGGGTATTCTCATCTAGATGCTGAATTCCATCAAAGCGTTGCATCGCAGCTGCTGGCTTCATGTGTGCCTGAGCCGCTGCTCTTCATCATCATCCTCGTCCTTCCCGCCAGCGTGTTCTCGGTCGCAATGTGAACCATAAGGGTCCGATGAGAGGGGCATGTCCGGTTCGGCATCAGTGAAGCCCCTCGACAGAAGACCAACGGTCGCAGTCTTGCTTTCTTCATCAACAACACCGCCCTGTTGCTCCATCCAGTTCACCGTCTTCCCCAACGACGCTCTCACATAAACACACACCACCGCCAGGCACGCAGCCCCGATTGCCGTCCCCTCCGCCACGACGAACCCCTCCCCAAACCGCGCATTCACCTCCCCCGCCCCCGGCCGGCTCACGTAACTCTTGAGCAGCAGCCCCTTCATCACCAGTCCGAACGCCGGAAGAAACACAAACGCCGGCAGGGTGAACCAAACCCACGCGCGGTACCTGTCCCAAAACCCCGGCGACAGGGCCTCAATCTGGGCGCGCGAGCCGCGCGGGCAGGGACACACGCGCTTCAGGGCGGCGAAGTAGCACTGGCACCGCAGCCAGCTCGGGCGCGCGGCAATGAGGGCCTCGGTGAGGAAGAGGACGGCGATGTAGGCCATGGCGAGGATATGCGAGGCGTACTCCAGCGTGCGGCTCATTTCGAAGCTGTCGTGGCGGAACGTGTTGAAGAATGGCGATGTGCACTGGTCGGCGCTGCGGAGGCAGGCCCATGAGGAAGGGTCGGCACCGAGGTGCTCACCGATCTGGATGAAGTCGTAGGGTAAGTTGGGCTCGGCGGTAGCGAAGGCTGCGGTTGAGGCGTTTGGGTACTCGTAGCCGAACGAGGAGAGGAAGAGGTGCATCGTGAGATCGTATGAGCCTGACTTCGAGGGTGAGGGGACGATGCCGTCAAACTGTGCGACGGTCAGCCAAATTTTGAGCGATGCGCAGCCACCACAGGTTGCAGACGCACTTTTAGTATTGACAGGCTTGACAGTCCCAATCGTTGGACGCCATCGCAGCCCCGTGTAACCCATGTGCCGGCGATCAGGGTCAAGATCTGTACGACGCCGGCGTAGACTGCGAGGGCACATGCCACGATAAGAAGCGCTGTGCGACTGCGCTGTCGCAAGCCCGTTCTGGGCTGGGCTTCTCTTGGGCCCATCTTTTGATGTCGGAATGAGCTCTCCGTGATTTAAATGCGCAGCCAATGCTTCCAGATGCGACCGCTGACCCGGGATGTTGGGAGAGTTTCGCGGGAGCGCAGATTCAGATGAACGGAGGACGCGGAACGTGATGGAGGGGAAGGGGGGCGCGATGAACAAGCTTAAAAGGCGATAAGAGGGGGATCGGCTGTCAGGCTTATGCCGCCAGGTCCAGGGGTTGGTTGGTTTGCTCGTGTCTAAAAATGCTTCCCTTCGCTTTCGCAAGCCACACGCGCGGGGTCTTGGCGTTGGCGACATGGATGGTTATGTGTGAAGTTGATCAATCATTTGTTATCCCACGCATGGAAGTGCTTGCCACCGAGAGAGAAAGTTACCATTCCCGAGGAAATCGTTGAATTCTGGCACAAAATGGAATTCATCTGTTCAATCGCGCCTTGAACTCTGGCAATCTGCAGGGCCGTTACTCATCCCCGGCACCATCCCCGAACCCGAACCAACGGCGGAACTCCGTGTGCTCGTATCCCATATCAATACGCGTATCACGAATACCGTTGCCCCAATTCCATGCGCCGCTTTTTCAGATCTCTTGACCTCGATTATTCCTCATCCGTGGGCGCCATCACTGCTTGATCTCCTGTTTGTGAAAGACGCCTATGCCCACCGTTAGCACTCACTCCGTCCGCTCCCCGACAGCACACATAACAATACTGACCGTCAATCTCCGGCATCCACGCCTCTCTCTGCGCGCAAAAGAACTCTCCCTTGGGCGGAACCTGGTCGGGCTCGTCGAACGTCCCCCACATGACGTACCGAAACTTGTCCGCCGCCGCCTCCCCGTACTCGCACAGGAACGCGCCGCAGGTGTCGCAGAACTCCCGGATCACGCCGTTGTCCTGCTTGAACTTTTTCGGCTGGGCTCGCGTGTAGGAGAAGCCTTCCAGCGGGACCTTGGGCCATGGGATGATATCAGTGCACCGCCTCGGTTTATTGCGACGGAATGAAGCCGCCACGAACCTTGGTCGTCAGACCGTAGTTGGTCCCGAAGGCCCTCTTGCAGCTGGAGCAGTGACACAGAGATGTCCTTGCATCGTCTGCGGAAGCAAGTTTGGCGGAGTACTGTAGTTGGGCGCAGACACAGCGACCGGTCAATGTGGTGGCCATGAGGAACAGAAGACAGTCAAGGTGGGATTGATTGAGCTGTCGTATCCGGAATGAGACTCGTCCAAATTCAGTCTTAGGTCGCAAGAAATCGGCTTCGCCTTTATTTGAAGTCGCTTGTCACGAAAGATATTCGTTGACATGATGTAGGTGCAGGCGCATCAGCGGTCATGACTGCCAGCTGACGTCACGATCTTCGGATGCCCAGAGGCGGCATCCTCAACCTCGCTCTCTTGCGTCTGAGTCCAAGGGGCATACGAGGCCCATGGTGTAATTCACGACGAGAAGTTCGTCGGTTGGTTTGCGACCCCGGGAATTCTACAATGCGCATAAGGGCCCCAGAGCCTTCATCGTTGGGCAACGAGCGTTCTCAATGAGACGAGAAAAGATGGTACTATCAAGTCAACGATGGTATCTTCATGTATGCAGACTTGTAAGTGTACAGGTCCTCCTTTGAGTCGAGCGAGCAGCAACGTCATTGTTTCTGCCACTTCTCAAACGACTTCAACACCGTCAAACTCCACGTGCCCGACTTCCGCCAGCCGTCTCTCTCCATGGGCACAGTTGGCCCGACATAAACTTGTCGAGGATGAATCTCCGCTAGCCTCGCCAGGTCCGATAGACGGAAAGCATGGCGGAATAGGGATGCCCAGAGGTCGTCGAAGAGGACTGATCCGAGCACTCTTAGAATGCCGTTGAAGCCATCCACTTCCTCTGCCACTTCCTCGCCCTCTTCTCTCCCACTTCCCCTTCTCCGCCTCTCACTATCCGCGCTTCCGACGGCGAGGATGAAACTTCCCAGATCGCCCACCGGAATGACGGGTCCGGCATTGTCCTGGATCGGATGTAGATAAGACTCGATGGACGCCTTGTCCGCAGCCAAGAAGACCGAGTCTGGACCTGTCGGGAGAAACATCGCCATCGCTGGCGACTTGCTGTATTCCCGGTAATGTCTGTGGATGTCAGAGGTGCCTCCAAGTAGCCTGGCATCGGGACACTCACCGTTTCGCTGCCTCGACATCACCTTCGGGAATGCCATGCTCCCGGCCATCGAGCCACCGCACCTTGCACAATGGCTTCACGTCACCAGCACCACTCACCCCATCCCCCCAAGCCGTCACGTCGCTCTTGAACTTCTCCAGGAAAGCTTTCCACTCCTCGTCAGAGTGTTCGTAGCAGATGCGATACCCCACGAACCCCCACGTCCGAAGGGACTGATTCGCCAGGTTCATCATGTTCTTCACCTCACATATCCAAGGCTCGTCACCGAAAACAGCCGGCGGCGGCCCGCGCAACTCCCGCCTGGCCATCTCGTACGCATGCGCCTGCAGCCGGCTCGTCTCCTCGCTTCGCACCGGATCCCCGCGTTGCCTCACGTCTGCGCCCTTCCGCATGGTGTAGAGCACCATCACCTGGTTCGTGAGCCACTTGCACCGCAACGCGTACACCTTCGAGCGGAACCGCATGTTGTACGGGAACGCCGTCATGGGCGTTCCCCCCTGGTACCCCTCCCAGTTGTCGCGTATCCGCGGGATGGCCGCCGTGAGCGTCTGCAGCCGGAACCCGGGCAGCGGTAGCATGATGCGCGTGTCCACCTTGTTCGTGAGTTCCGTGAGATCGTGCACCTTGTCCAGGATCTCCAACTGCATGGGCATCAACGTCTGTATGGGCATTGATACTATACCCTGTAGCCTCGCCCACTGCACCTCCCTGAGCTCGTCCAACCGCGCCAGCGTCCACGCGTGCGCCCTCTCTGCGACGGTGGTCAAGTAGTCCACCAGAAACTCCTCCCACATCGCCGTCACCGAGATCGACGTCCGGCCGCGCTCGGCGCGGTATGCGTTCAGCGCGCCCTCTCGAAATCGCTGCACGTGTCCCACACCCCGTTGGCCGCCTTGCGCATGCGGTCCTGCGTCTGCGGGAGATTAATATACTCAAACGCGTCGACGACCTGGCTGAGGTGCTCGCATGCGCGCTCAAAGTTGGCGAGCTCGTGAAGCCCCTTCTGGCGCCATCGCGCGAGCGACATGGGCGGCAGGCCGTGGAGCAGCCGCGTCTTCATGTGGTGCAGGTCGCGGTCGCACTCGGTGCTCGTGGTCATGACGATGCTCAGGAGATCCCCCATGCCCCCGATGATGCTGATCGTGCGGCTGAGAGCGTTGTCGACCCGGATCCGGGGGTTGTTGTACGGCGCCGGCGCCCATTCTCTGTAGGGCCGGCAGAAGAGGGCCTGCTCATCTTCGTCGGACGGTCGGGGCTGGGTTGGGTCCTTGCCGCTGAAGAGCTTCCCTTTCATGAACAGGGTAGTGAATTGGGTGGCCAAGGTGTTGGGAAGCACAAAGGCATCGTCTTGGGTAAGATATGTCAATGGCCATTCCGGGTTGACAGGGGCACCTGCATAGGGGCTCTACTCACTAACAATCACCAGCTGAGGGTGCTTGTACTCAGGGTTGACCACGTCAACCCCTTGAGTGATGTGCTTCATGTCATCAAGGCTTCGCCACGACATTTTGGCCTTCTTTACCGTCGAATGAGTGAAATTTCATCAACAGTCTCGTAAAACCTACGCACTCAAGGCAATGCTTATATCTTTTTCTCTATTGCTGTTGGTACGGACAACATCGCCATGAGCCCACTTCTGCCTATCATAACCATGTTCGGTGTGGCCAATAGGGGTAGTCTGTTGGAACCAGGGCAGTGAACAAGAACGGTTTTAGTGGCCCGGCAGCCTGGAACGCCGGGCTAGAGCGCCCAAAACGGCCGTCGTTGCCTAGACAGACAGACGCTTCTGTGCGGCGCGATGGATTCTAATCCGGCGAACATCCGAAAAATGTCTGCAAGCTTAAATTACCTGCTTGGCGACGTTGATTTCCACGAGTCCGGCGGTTGGACTGGAATATCGGATCCGAGCAGGTTGTCGTGTGGATTGAAAAAGCAAATGCAGGCGTGAACTCCATACCCTTCGTTCGTGCACTTACAGCCTGGGTTCTGCTGGCACCAGCGTATGTCAATTGCAGGACTGTCATGACCACAAGAACTCCCTATTTCTCTTCCTTCTTCATCTTCTTTCTTAAAGTAGCGAGCACCATGATTAGGAAGATTTCTAGCCCGTCTCCTGGTGAGAGGAGAAACATTAAGATAAATGCAGATAGCAAGGACACTTCATTCCGTCCTTCGCCTAGTAAGAGAGGGGAATACAGTTTCGATATGGTGAGTACTATGAGCATTCTTGATCACGTTCTAGATCACGTTATTCGGTTTCAGTGAACTAATTGATGGGCTTGGAAAAGTTGCTGTTTTGGAGTGTTTTTCCTACTGGTCTGCCTACAAGGCAGATCGAGTAGGTAAACGACTGCGGCACAGCCCAATGGCATCGGTCTTCGCTCTTGGAGTTGCCCCTCTATCATGCGGCTTGCTGACGCACTGCATCAGCCAACTAACCAGCCCTTGCTTCTATAAAAACCTGTACTGCGCGACCATGTGCTTGCGAGGCTCGTCTAAGAAAGTTTCTCGTCTTGGTTGTTATCTCGTCACCAGGGCCTCTCGGTTGGTTCTCCGAGTCTCGTATTGAAATTTTAGTCTGCCAGAGAGCATCACCCTCAGACAGCATCACCCACACTTATAGACGATGGCATCCCTCTACCAACACCTGAAATTCTCCGATCCTTCCAAGCAAATCAGATTGCTCCGTCTGGAGCCGTCTCCAACCGGAACCGACGAATATGCCTTCAGCTTGGAGGTCCATGACTTCCAAGAGAATAGTCGTCCATCCTACATCGCCATATCCTACACCTGGGGCGTGCCTATCCCAAAATTGCCGGTTGTGATCAATGGGCTCCGGATGCAAGTGCAATTCAATTGCTGGTACGCGCTTTGGCAGATGCGACACCACGGCTATACCAGCGACGTCAATTTCTGGATGGACTCGCTCTGCATCAATCAAGACAATAACGAGGAGAAAGGCCACCAAGTCGCCATGATGGGAGATATCTACTCCTCTGCCTCATTAGTGGCTGCGAGCCTCGGGTCTGGCGAAAGTCTAGGAAATGTGCGACAAACCCTCGCATCTAGAAGCGATTACGAGATTGGCAAACTTCGGGAGAGCTTTGACCGATTGCCTTATTTTAATAGGGTGTGGATCATACAAGAGATTGTCCTCGCCAGGGACATCGCCATCTTTTACGGATTTGAGAGGCTGTCGTGGAGTGAATTCGTTCAGACCGTCAACCCCATCAAAACCAAAGCCCGGATCTCTCAAAGTGAATGCTCAGATGGGAGTGATAGCTCACCCACATTTGGCAGTCGCGTCAATGACTCCCTGATACACGAAAGGCTTGAAAGACTTTCTATCAGCACGCAGCTCTGCGATCATCGGTCTCAGGTCGCCAAAACATCAACAATCATGGAACTTATAGCAAAATATAGAACTGCAGAGGCGTCGGTGGCAGCAGACAAAGTTTACGCGCTTCTCTCTCTTCTTCCTCAAAGCGACCCTATACGACAGAATCTCCCAGTCATATACGGACAATCAACATGGTTTCCTCTATTCCGAGATCTAGTCAAGCTCATGTACATTTACTACGAGGATGAGCCTGTAGGATCCAAGCACACGGCCCTCAGTCTCATTCGCAATGCGTTCAAAATCCACGGTCTTGATGACGAGGTGATTGCCTTTATTGAGTCTCAAGCGTGTAGTCCGTCAAACGCTCGGTTTCCCAATCAAGAATCTGCTCCTGTTGCAGTCTCCGGTTTGACGCCGCTGTACAAGGGGGGGCATAGAGGGCTCATAGTCACAAGCCAACTTGAGCCAGTGAAGACTATCGAAGACTTAGGCTTGTTCAAACATGATGGCCACAGGGACCAAGAACGAGGCGGCAACAGGACGCATCCCAAGGTAAACATGCCGCCGCAACTCAAGTCATTGCGAATACTTTACACCATGAAGAGACCACAAAGCAAGAAGTACAAGTATGGCAAAATTTTCAAAGACTTTGCTACCCAGGCGCATGATTATTACCCAGAGAGCCTCATTCCCCATGAGGAATTCTTGGTCAATTATGACGTTCGACCAGGAGACCTCCTTGGATACTTGGGCTGGGACGCAACTGAGTACGACACGAAGGACAAATGGGCCGTCGCACATGTCGTCCTACGCCCAATTTCCGTCGCAGTTGAGAACAAGACTGAAGACTGTGATATGCCTCTTGGAAATGAGACACGTCGAGATCGGACGCAGTTCTTTCTCCACAGCTGGGCTGTACCTGTACGTCAAAGGCTTACAATACTTTCTCGGGAAGGTAGTCGACATGCAACTGATGCTTCGAACATTGGATACAATATAAGCCGGACAAGATATGACTTGGAAGATTCACTCCAACTATCTTTGCATTACCGGGATACATTGATCCCCCTGCTTCTCAACCACCATCCCCTCCAATCGTTGTTGTACTTCAATAGAGCGCCTAGTATGGGATCGGTTGACTTATTTTCTCGAATTGAGAATTCCGAGCATCTCGCGGAATGGTTCGAGTCGTATGCTCCTATGGGAAGACTTCTTCATCGCTACATCTTACCGTATAACTCTCACGGGGAAATATTTGAGGACTAGGATAGCTTATAGAGAAACCTCTATAGCTACCTATAGGGGTATATGAAGAGAGCGCGAATTACTAGGGGGCAGTTATCTCCCTCTTTATGCTACTATAACTTATTACTCCTTTAATATCAAGATGTTATTACTTTACTACATCGATACTATCGTCATATGTTTCCCAGCAAGTGTGCCTAAATGTTAAAGACTCAAGTGGTCGGCTTTTCTTGTCAGAAGGTGCAGAAATTCAAGACGTCTCCACGTCTCCCGGCTTGAATATCTGTTGGTTGGAACATTGATAGTAGACTAGTTTTCTCTTGGGCTGATAGGGAAAGCGCAAGCTAGTTCGTTTGCTCTGAAGCTTCACCTAGGAAGCCAAGAAGATATCTCCAAACGCCAGTAAATTCAATGCTTCCTCGTCTGTCAACTACTTTCCCTGGGGTCTCTTGTGGTAGCACCCTGTGTAGGTGTAGCAACGTGAGCATTCACGTAACCTTTGTGAGAAAGGGCAGAGCCGTGAATGACAGGTTCTTGCCGTACATCCGATTCCGTTTCCCAAAACGATCTTCAACTCCAGCAAGTCCGTACACTCCCTCCTATTGGTCGTAGCGCCGCCCCCCTGCATAATAATGCATGCTTTACTCGGTTATCGGCACACGACTCAGAACCACCACGCGGAAGCCGGCTAGCTCCCAGCAGGCTTCGGATACTTCGGATCACAGGCAATTTATCCCAGGAACGAAGGCAGCTAATCTCCCCTCTGACTATCTGGTTATGAACGGCAGCGGCAGCGGCAGGGGGCCACTCGCCAACTCTAATTCTCTCGCCAGGTGCCGTGCCGGTTGAGGTTCGCCCACGTGTGGGGACTCTCTCCCACTCAATGGTGGGAAATTGGCAAAGGACAGGAAGGGCGGCCTGAGATAGCGATGGCTATATCGGTCATGGCACGGTTGATTGGACGGGAAAACATCGCGGTGTCTACGACAGAGAAGGGCCCCAAAATCTTCCGTCGGAAGCAATTCGTTTTCTCACGAGGTTGAGGAGTTCGCTGGTCCCTTTCATCAGCGCACCGTAAACAGCATGGGAATGGGGGAGGGTTGCATATAAGGATCCTTCAATGTCTTGGCATCTGGGGTAGAAACAGCAGTTGACGTGCATCTTGTTGCTTTTCTTTCCGAGATCCTCGCTGGCTTGATTTAGCTTGTTCGCCATGGCTGCCAAGACGCTTATCTCCATGCTTGCCGCCGTCAGCTCCGCCGCGGCTCTGACGTGCCAAGTTGCTGGTTCGTAACCTTAAAGCTCCATGGTCCTTGTCTCCAAGCGATAAGCTGATAAAACCAAATAGGCGGCACCTCTGATGATTCCCCTGCTATCCTGGCTGCGTTGAAGCAGTGCAATAATGGCGGAACCGTGCGTAAATGTTGCGAATCCTCGGCGCCCGTTGATCAAGATGTTGATTTGTTGCTTTCCCAGGTTGTCCTTGACAAGACATACACCATCGGCTCCGTGCTCCAGACGGAGGACCTGTCCAACATCGCCATCCAGCTCTCTGGCACCGTCAGCTTGAGCACGGATCTCAGCTACTGGCAGAAGAACTCCATCCAGCTGACATACCAAGATGCTTACACCGCGTGGGCCATCGGTGGTAGCAACATCCACGTAGGTCCTCCCTCCCCTGGGACGGCAATCATTCCTGACAAGCTCTCAAGATCTACGGCGGCGGTTCTTACAATGGAGGAGGTGACGGTACGTGGCTCCCACTTACCTACTGGCAATAGCGAGTGTTCGTTGACTTCTGCTGCAGCATGGTACGCGGCCGGCAAGACGGGCCCTATCATGCTGACCCTGCTCAACGCCAAGAACGTCCTCGTTGAGCACATCACCATGAACAAGAGCCCCTTCTGGCACAACCTTGTTGAGGGCTGCACCAACGTCACGTACAGCCACGTGAACATGAACTCTGTTCAGACAAGTGGAAAGCAGGCCCAAAACACCGATGGGTAAGCCGTTGCCCACTGCCCCAACGCTCTTCGATATAGCCACTGACCGGAATAGCTGGGACACCTACCGTAGCTCCCAGGTCACCATCACCGACTGCACCGTCATCAACGGCGACGACTGCGTCTCCTTCAAGCCCAACTCCACCGACATTCCCGTCAAGAACCTGTGAGCCCCCAACGTGGAGATGACACCCTCGTCCGCCCGAGTATCAAGACTGACGGCCCCTCAGCTACTGCCAAGGCTCCCACGGCATCTCTGTGGGCTCCCTGGGCCAGTACGCCGGCCAGGTCGACATCGTGCGCAACATCTACGCCAAGAACATCACCATGGTCAACGCGTCCAACGGCGCCCGCATCAAGGCCTGGGGCGGCAGCGCCTCCGCCACGTCCACATCAGGCGGCGGCACCGGCGTGGTCCAGAACGTCACCTTCGACACCTTCACCATGAAGAACGTCGACCTCCCCATCGTCATCGACCAGTGCTACATGACCTCCGCCGCCGCCTGCGCGCAGCACCCCTCGGGCGTCACCATCAGCGACGTGCACTACATCGACGTGACGGGCACCGGCGGCAAGGCGGCTGAGGTCGTGAGCATGGTGTGCAGCGACGTCTGCCAGGACATCACCGCCACGGGCACGAAGCTCGTGGGCACCAAGGGCGGCGCGGAGTACATCTGCAAGAACGTCGCGTCGACGGATAAGTTGGACTTCCCCTGCAGCGCCACGGGCGTGACGGTCGGCGGCACGAGCAAGACTTCCAAGACTGCCAAGGCGACGGCCACCAAGAGTTTAGGTTGACAGGGCTAAACCGTCGGGCGTATGAAGATGTGGGGAATGGATGCGACCCTCTGAAGAAGGGGGAGAAGAAAAAAAGAAAGCTTGGCATAGCTGGGCACAAGTTTTTACTTTCAGTACATAACTTTTTACCGTAGCTTGAGAGAAAATATGTTCGGTCAAATCATCCTCAATCTCATTCCTTCAATGGGAAGACAACTTACTCGCTGAGGACTCAGGAGATCGACTCGTAAAGGCAAATAAACTCCAAAACGCCATAAACTAGCTCGTCCCCCTCGGGCAGTCGGTAAACAGACTTCCCGAGCGTGTGGCCGTGTAGCGCAAGCGCTAGCAAGCAAGCCAAAAGTTCAGGGTCCCAGGCTGAACAACGATGAGAGAGGGAGGCTTTCCGCCGGCCCTCGAGCTGTCCTCAGCTTCACCACCACAACCAGCCGTCTTTTCTTTCTTTCTCTCTCATTTGCATCCAACTTTGTCACAGAGCATAGCTTCCCGCCCGTGACTACACGCTATTGGCATCCGTGCGCGTGAATGGCGGCCACCAGGGCCAAGACACCATCCAATTGACAATTGACATCTTGGCCAGCCAGCGTCCGCGTTGCCGCCCGGCCCCGTTCAGATGAAAAGGGCTGACGAGCACGTGAGGCCAAGCCGATCCGTCCATCCATCAATCGAGGTGGGAGGGCACGCGACACCACCCAAGACGCCGGGGCGATGGGGGATTCAGACGAAGACGACGGCGATATTATGAAGACGGGACGGGCGATGACGCGGGTGAGCCATGCCATAACCCGATGCTGTACTTTGTAGGTCGAGGATTGAGGCCACACAGTCACACACACATCGAGGGCGCAGCTGTGCACTCATTACCTATGTACGACCTAGAGAAAACAATTGGTCTGCAACAACAAGACCAGCAGCAATTGTTATTTACCAGGGCGGAACCCGAGGGGCTCGGTTGATGGGCGGTGGCCGCATTCGGGCGGGGGCTTACATTAAGGATGAACATGGTTCAATTCAAAGGGAGCCCGTTTGATTCGTCGCCCGGACAAAGAGCAAGCGAGAGCAGAATGAATGTGTCTCCTCTTCTTCCTTTCTGTTCTACAGCCCCAGCAAGGCTCCAAGTACCGATCCGTAGCTCAGCTCAGCTCTGCCCCGTCCCGACTTTTTACATAATTAGGATGAGTTTAAGCCAGGCAGATGCGAATCCTTCGAGGCGGTACGGCTGATCTTTTTCATTTGATCTCTGTCTTTTTTTCTCCGCGGACGCGCCCATCCATCCATCCCACCGGGCGCATATGCCAGCAAGCAAGCACTGCAGTCCTCGGCCGAATTATTCCCTCAGCCCCAAACGGGGCATGCATCCGGGAGTCTAGAAGACTGGAGATTGGATTTCCCCAGCTGCACGGTACCCCGTTGTCATTACGATGTTTCCGCCTCCCGCGCGTTCCATCTTTACCAGCAGGGTCAACCTCAGCTGTACCGCGTATTTAAAGAAAAGCACAGCGTAACGGCTCTAGTCTCACGCGTGACATGGGCTGGGTTGCAGCTCTCTGGGAGGGGTGGGAACGCCCCTAGGCAGAAAGCTTGTTTCGGGCAGGTTTCCTAACAAGGAGTCAGCCACAACTTGATACACACCAAAAGATGAAATTTCTCCATGGACACCGTTCAATCCACACGGCGCCGTTACGTTTTCGCAGAGTCATGATTGGCAGTTCCCCCCCCCCTTCCTTGGGCCGCCCCTAAGGTAAGGTGCAATGTGAGGCTTTTCCGCCCGGTTCTGCGGGTTCTGGGCCCTTGGTCCCGTCTGTCTGCTAGAGTCTAAGCATGTACAAGTAAGGTCGGTATGCATCCGCCCATTTCCAGGTACCTACATGTAGGATCTGATCCAATGACATACGCCCCCTCCAAGCTGTAACCGTACCAGAAGTAGGCTACGGCTGGCTGCCTGGAGGATTTTCATTGGCAGGAGTCGT